TCATGCTTTTCTGAGATAAAGCTCTTTCTCGTGTCCACTAATACATTTACCTCCCGGGAAGTATTTATTCCATTTTTCTTTTGATGAGGAGAGATGAGATGGGAAAGTAAAGAGAAAGGTTCAAGAGATGGAGTGATATGTTAATGTTTCCGTCTCTCTCGCTATCTATCGCTATTTAAGCGAGAGACCTGAGTTCAATTCCCGGCAGGGGCGAAACCTTGGGCAAGTTTCCTTACTCCACACAGAGCCTAATAATAATCCCTCCAAAAAAAAAAACAATAATAAATTGGTCATCTTCAATCCACGACTGTTTGTGGGACATTGCTGTGCGCAATTGGCTGCCGCGTTCGCCCACAAATATACAGTCAATTCATCTTTCTCCCTGCTTGTCGGCCTCCCCAACTCTTCCCTCACAAGCTGCAGATCATCCAGAACTCTGCGGCTTGTGTCCTCTCCTGCACCAGGCTCCGTGACCCCATCACCCTCACCCCCAGTTCCACTGGCTCCCCATCCCTCAGAGGATAGAATTCAAAATCCTCGTCCTCACTTTCAAGCCCCTTCACGGACTTGCCCCCTTCTACCTCTCTGACCTGTTAACCCCTGCTGTCAACCTGTCCGGTCCCTCCGCTCAGCAGGCTCTGGCCTGCTCCATGTCTCCCATCCAACCTGCCCTACCATCGGTGGTCGGGCTTTCAGCCTCTTTGCCCCCACACTTTCGAACTCCATTCCAGAATCCCTTCACATTGCTCTCTCTCTTGCCTCCTTCAAGGCACGACTTTTTGACCGTGCCTTCAGCGGCCCTCCTACCTCTCTGCCCTCTCTCATCCCAAACCTGACACCCGTGCTTGGGTGAGGAGCCACTCAATCGGGAGCGGGGTCAGGAGAGCGCAGTAGATGATGGCGGCGCTGATTCACATAGTGACGTCGGCGTGACGTCATAATTAAAAAAAAACAACGATGGCCTGGCAGCCCCTGGCACTGCCATCCCAGCCATGACCACACAGCCTGCGGGCTGATGCCGTCACGCTGATCGCTCGCTCCCGGTCTCTGCGTGCGCGTTTTGGCTGCCGCCCCTCCTCTCCCCTCCCCCTCGCACCCCACTCTAAATGTCTCTTCTCCCACCCCCCTCTATCCGCTACTCCCACTCTGTCCTTCTCTCCCACCACCCTCCCCGCCTTTTCTCTCTCCTCGACCCCATCACCACTTCCCTTTGCTCCAGCCTGGGCATCCTCCGCTGGGCTCATCGTGGCTCCTGGCACTGACTGTCCCAGAGCAGCAATCCCAAGTGTCCCATCATTCACTCCCTCCACACAAACCAGCTCCTTAAGGCAGACACAACTTCCCCCTCCCTCATACGTACCCTCCCCAACTCTTCACTCCCACCACACCCCAGAGCCTTTTTCCTGTACACCCTAAAATACTCTCTGCATCACTCATTCCTCCCTCTCCTCCCACCAGCAAACCCACTTGCATTTCCCTTCAAAATGTCCGTTCCCTCTCAAACAAAGCCCTCACCATCCATGACCTCATCCTGGATGAGCACCTTGACATTCTTTGCCTCACAGAAACCTGGCTCTCCCTCAATGACCTCATCCCCCTAGTTGAAGCCTCCCCTCAAGGCTACACCTTTCACCACACCCCCCATCCAAAGCAACATGGTGGCGGGGTGGCCCTCATCTCCAAAGCCTACCTTGGTCCTCTGGCTGCTTCCCCTTCCTTGAGGACTTCACCCTCTTCCATCCCTCTCTCCCACTGAAAATCCTCTTGGTCTACTGACCCCCTAAGTACCCTGGCTCCTTCCTCTCTGACATTTCTAATCTCTTCTCTTCCCTGTCCCTCTGCTCCGAACGCCTGCTCATATGGGTGATTTCAACCTCCACCTAAACTCCCCTTGCACCACTTTGTCTGACTTCATTGCCCTCCTCTCCTCCCTAAACCTCACCCTTCACATTAATTCACCTACCCACAACCGTGACCATGCCCTTGACCTCATTATCACCCATGACCTTGACATTTCTGACCTTAGCATAGTGGGCAAGGCCATCTCGGATCACTTCCTCATCTCCTTCTACTCTCACAACCCTCTCTCTTCCACCAAGCCCTCAACCATACTCTACCACCTATTGAAAAGGCTACCCCCTGAGACCCTCACAAAGGCCCTCACATCATCAAATATCCTATCCCTCTGGCCTTCCACCCGCAGAGATCCTGAAGCAGCCGTCCAGCTGTTCCTACATTCCTTTCTCCCCATCTCTCCTTCCTCCCTGATCCACGATCACTTCAATGAAACCCACCACCTGCTGCCTCAACCCCCTTCCCACCAACTTGCTGGTCACACAGCTCCCTCGCCTCTGCCCATTACTAACTGATATCATCAATCAGTCCCTCTCCTCTGGATCAGTCCCTGCCCCCCCTCAAAACTGCTGTCATCACCCCCCTCCTCAAAAAACCTTCCCTAAATCCCTCAAACCCCAGCCACTTCCGCCCTATTTCAAACTTGCTCTTCCTCGCAAAAGTGCGGGGTATCCCAAGGTTCCATCCTTGGCCCCCTCTTCTTTCTGATCTACATGCTCCATCTTGGAGATGTCATCCGTAGACATAGGGTACACTTCCACATGTATGCAAACGACACCCAACTCTATTTTTCCACCTCACTTTGTGACCCCCAGTTCTGTCAGCCTGCCTGTCAGACCTCAGGAGCTGATGAGCGCAAATTTCCTTCAGCTGAACGTTGACATACTCTTTAGTTCTCGTCAACGTCTAAAATCTCACGGTTCTCACCTCCTCCACCTACCCGACCTCCCCTTAAAACTCTCCGAACCCGTACACAACCTAGGCATCAGGTTCGACCCTCCATTATCCTTCCTCCCCCACATCCGGTCCCTCACCAGCACCGCTTTCTTCCACCTCCGACTCATCGCCCGTCTCTGTCAATACCTCTCCCCAAAAGCCGCTGAAAACCTGGTCCATGCCTTTGTCACCTCTTGGCTGGACTATTCAAATGCCCTCCTCGCTGATTTCCCCTCCACTACCATCCATAAAATCCAGGTCATACAAAGCTCTACCACCCTCATTCTTACCCACACCAAACTCTGCTCCTTGATTACCCCAGTCCTTGCCAGACTGCACTGGCTGCCTGTCCCAGAGAGGATCGACTTCAAAATCCTCACCCTTTTCTTCAAATCCCTCCACTCCTCTGCACCCTCCTACTTCTCTGACCTCCTCTCTTCTCACAACAGTGCCCGTTCCCTTCGTTCCACTGGGTCTGGCCTCCTCCTTGTCCCCCGAGTCGTCTGCTCTACCTCGGCAGCCGTGCCTTCAGCCACTATGCCTCGAGGCTCTGGAACTCCCTTCCCCTGTCCCTTTGCCTCGCTCCCTCTCTTCCTATTTTCAGGTCTCAGCTGAAGACCTTTCTTTTCGACCGATGCTTTGGTCACCTTCCTCCCCCTCCCCCTGGCTCGGCCTCGGGATCCGTTACTGTGAAGCGCTCTGAGACGCCGTCCAGCATGGAAGGCGCTATGTAAACCTAAGTTGTTGTTGTTGTTGCCTGCCTGACTGGAGGCTGATTCTCCCTGAGGTGCTGAGTATATCCTGTGCTGAGTCCTGCACTTGGAAGCTGGGTGGCCAAAAATTAAATTTGTAGCCCCAAATCAGCAAAATATTAGCCCAAAAGTAGCACATTATGCGTTGGCTCCTATGGGTAGCCGCAGAGTGGCCAATTTAGGGTTTGTGCTTTTGAAACTGTAAGAAAAGATCTTCACAGAATCTTACAGCACAGGAAGCCATTCAACCCATCGTGCCTATGCCAGCTCTTTGAAAAGCTATCCAATTAGTCCCACTTCCCCGCTCTTTCCCAAAAGCCTTGCAATTGCTTTTTTTCAAGTACCTATCCAATTTCCTTTTGAAAGTAACTATCGAATCCCGCTCCCACCACCCCTTCAGGCAGTGCAGTGCGTTCCAGACCGTAACAACTCTCTGGGTAAAAACAATTCTCCTCGTCTCCCCTCTGGTTCTTTTGCCAATTATCTTAAATCTGAGTCCTCTGGTTACCGGCCCACCTACCACAGAGAAAACTCTATCAAAACCCCTTGTAATTTTCAACATCGCTATTAAACATCCCCTCAACCTCCTCTGCTCTAAGGAGAACAATTCCAGCCTCTCTAGTCTCTCCACATAACTGAAGTTCCTCATCCCTGATATCATTCTGGTAAACATCCTTGGTAAACGCCTTATCACGTTGTTGATGCGTCTCCAAGCGCTTCACAGGATATACTGTATTTTTTTTGTGTAAGCGGCAAAGCATTGGTGTCAGACGTTGCTGCCCTCGACCAATTTGCATCAGAAAATAGAAATTCATTGTAGGAGAGAGAGAGAAAACACGGTGCGGGGGGAGGGTGGGGGAGAGGGGGGGGTTAAAGGACTTGGTGAACAACCTGTAGCTCAGTGGTTAGAGCACTCGCTTTGCAAGTGAGAGACCTGAGTTCAATTCCAGGCAGAGGGCGAAACCTCGGGCAAGTTTCCTTACTCCACACAGAGCCTAATAATAATCCCTCCAAAACAAAACAAAAAACAATAATAAATTGGTCATTTTCAATCTACGACTGTTTGTGGGACATTGTGCGCAATTGGCTGCCGCGTTCGCCCCCAAATATACAGTCAATTCATGTACAGTATATTCTGTGAAGCGCTTTGGGACGTCGAGAAGACGTGAAAAGCGCGATATCAAATGCAAGGATTATTATTATTATCCCCAAAAAACGCCCAACGAGGGCGTGAAACAGCCCGATGCGGCGTGAAACCGCCCAATTGGGCGGGGTCCCGCCCAATCGGGCGGTTTCACGCCGCGTCGGGCTGTTTCACGCCCCCGATTGGGCGGGAACCCGCCCGATGCGACGCCCACATTGGCCGACGCGCTGACGGCGCCCCTCCCCTTCCGTCCCACGGCGCCGCCGACGTGATGACGCACGCTCCCTCCCTCCCTCCCTCCCTCCGTCGGCACAAGTTCTAGAAACGCCTCCCAGCCGCCACTGCGCTTCCAACATGGAGGAGTTGCGGGTCGAGGTGCGCGGCTCCAACGGGGCCTTTTATAAGGTAAAAGAAAAAGCTTTGGACCGGGCGCTCCGGGCGGGAGGGGAGAGGCGGGTGAGGGGGGATGTGGGGGAGAGCCGGTCCCCCCAGGGAGGGAGGGAGGGAGGGCGGGGGGTGGCGGGGTTGTGTGGAGCCTCCCTCAGGGCGGCGGGGGAACTCCTAGGCCAGGCCTGGCGCCCGGGCCGCTCGCTAGGCCTCACTTTTTTTTTGCTGCCACCCCCTGTTTTTTTTTAAGCTATAAACGTGTATCTTTTGTGTGTGTGTGTGTGTGTGTGTGTGTGTATATATATATGTCTTAAAAGTTCCCCGTGTTCTGCACAAGCGTTTAAAAGTACCTTTAGATAATTCTGTCTCAAATATGTTTTTCCCACCCCCCAAAGATTAACGTATTTTAAGGCTCTCTCGTTTGTTTTACGTCTTAATAAAAGAAAAGCTCCTTTATCTTTAATGTTATTTACCTTTTCACCCTTTTCTCTTAAACCTCTTTTAGCTTTAATTCCCCGGAGCGTCTCGGAATATAATTCTGCCACGCTCCTTAATCATTTTTTTTATTATCTTGGTCTTGTGTGTGTGTGTTGGTGTGTAAAAAAAAAAGCAGCTGCAGCAGCAGGAGTTTACATTTAAATTCTAAAATTTCAGCTGGAGGTTTTAAATCACTTAATAAATTAACGTGTGCATTTGATATCAAAATATCAATAGGGATTTTTAATGCGATCATTTTTTAATTACCAGAACTCAAGCGTTCCTTCCCCACCCCCAATCCTCTCCCCTTGTCTTTTGTTGGTTGTGAATGCTATTATTGTGCGAGGAGGATTTTTCTATTAGAAAAACAATTTTGTTTTAATTTCTCTTTTGGAAGTTGTTGGGAATCCGCTTTGAAATAACTTTTCCATCTCACCCAGCAAGTATTCCAAGGGCGTCATTGGGAGTGAATGCTTGTGGCCGGCTGTTGACTGTCACTCATGGTTTCTTTATCAAGTTTGTGAGAGAGAGAAGGGGGGAGGAGGTGACAAAATCGCCATGGGAGTCTGGTTTCAGGGTATTTTTAACCAAGGGTTTTATGACCAAGGTATTGCCAGCGAGAGCTTTTCTTTCTGCCATAAAAGTGCATTGGAGGAGGAGGTTTTTTTTACACATGTGCTTTCTGTACCTTTAGATTAAGTTTCTCTGACACCCAAACTCAAAATGGATTGCCCATATACTGAGATTTTCGTACGATCTTTTTGGTTAAAATTCCTTTAGATGTTTCAGCCTCCCCTTCTTTCCTCCAACCCCCACCTCCCACCCACCCTCTAGCGATTCAGATTTGGAATCTTTTTGACGAAGCTTTCAAATACTAACTGTCCCTGCGGAATGATGTCTTTTTGATTTCAATTTGAATATGCCGGAGACAGATGGGATGTGAGAATTTGTTGGGGGAAGAGGGATCGGATAACATCAGAAATTAATATAGATTTCTTTCTTCTCCTACACCCCCATCCCTCAAAAAAAATGTTACTGCATTGCTTCGGGTATCTGGAAAGAGTGATTTGAACAGTGAAAACCTACTAATGATGTAGAGGAGGGTGGCGGGAGGGAGAGGAGGAGAAAAGTTTAACAATCAATATAACTAACTTTAAAAAGATTCCAAAAGGGAAATGTTTTTAGTCGTTGCACTTTTTCTTCCTTCATTTTTTCCCCATTCATTATTTTTTGTATAGTATGAGTACATTAAAATTTCTAAGTACAGCAGAGCAGGACACCCGGATTTTGAAGTGGTTTGTGTTATTGAATTCATTCTGCAGCAAACTTATATTTTTTAAATGAATATTCCATACAGAGGTGAACTGCAGGTGAAAATCTTTAACTTGACTCATTCTAGGAACTGTTTTAGGAAACTCATGAGGCAAGATATTAGATGACGTATTTCTTTTTCAGAGAATTAATTTTTTTGCTTTTTGAAATTAATCTTAATACGTTACATGATTTCTTCTGGGCCTAGTATCAGTCAGCTGATGTTGTGCATCACTGTAAAGTTTTTATTTGACAAGTATCAAGTTCCCAGAAATGCTTGAGGGGAGATCTTACTGACATTTTCAGGATCTTAAAGGATATAGATAAACTGAGACTTAATAATCTGCTTAATATGGACAAAAAAAATAGAATGTGGTGACAAAGATTCGAGCTTAGAACAACAAGTTGCCCTTATAGCCTCTCACGCAAGATAGAGTCCCAGAGCACAGTGCCGAGCTGGGGGGAGGTGACCAAAGAAGAGAACAGACTGCTCAGATTTAATTACTTTGCACAAAAGTGGTGAATATCTGCTATTAACTACTCGTGGAGACAGTTTACATCAACAGATTCAAAAGAAAATTCAGTTGCTGATAAATTCAGTTGAGGAGTATGAACATGGAGTAGTCCAGGATTATTTCAATTCGAAAAAAATGCTTTCGGCCTGACCAAGTGTACCGCAAATGGTCTTTTTCTGTCCTGCACATTCCTATGTTCCTATGTAACACTGCCTCCATGCTCAGGATTAGATTGTAGCTCAAGCTGCCTTGAACTAGATCACCAACTGCTTTCAATTTGTCAGTCTTCAATACCAGGCCAGCTTTCCATCACCTTTTGACACGATTAATGTTGGACAGTACCAATACTTTATAGCCAAAGTACAATATAACCACACTGCTTTAGGTGAGAAATACAAATCCCAGTTCGTCCCTGTCTATCTGGTGTATTTAGAAACTTCAGAAAATATCTGATGACCGCTGCTTGAATGTCAATCTCAGTTTCAACATGCCTTAATAGTAATAATAATAATCGTTGCATTTGATATAGCGCTTTTCACGTCTTCTAGACGTCCCAAAGCGCTTCACAGAATATACTGTAAAGTGAACTGACTGTATATTTGTGGGCGAACGCTGCAGCCAATTGCGCACAGCAATGTCCCACAAACAGTCATGAATTGAAAATGACCAATTTATTATTGTTTTGGGTTTTGGAGGGATTATTATTAGGCTCTGTGTGGAGTAAGGAAACTTGCCCAAGGTTTCACCCTCTGCCTGGAATTGAACTCAGGTCTCTCGCTTGCAAAGCGAGTGCTCTAACCACTGAGCTACAGGACTCCACTTGCTGGAGCCTTGCTGATTCGAGCTTTCAATGTAATTTACCAAATTTAAATGTGCCAAAAATATATTTTTTATTGGATTCTGATATGAATCTCAACGGCATAATAAGGCGCTATATCAAATGCAAGTATTATTATTTTTATTATTCTTATGAATGCCTCTATCTGGGTTCTTATATTGGAATTTTAGCAGGCTGTATCCTAATTTTTATTTAATGGCCAGGTTTTGTGCTTCATACATGGTTGCAAACTTTACGTGCGTCAAAACGAGTGTGTGAATTGTGCAGCTTTTGTAATGGTTCTCTCTGGACCTCTGTGCCCCGCTTTGTATGTAAAATAAAATTTCACCCATCTACAAAAAAAACACCGAACAAGGGGGCATAATCTTAAAATTAGAGCCATTTAGGAGTGAAATCAGGAAGTATATTTTCACATACAGTGGTAGTGGAAATCTGGAACTCTCCTACAAAAGGTTGTTGATGCTAGATCCATTCAAATTTTCAAGACTGACGTGGGTAGATGTTTGTTAGCTAAGGGTATCAATGGATATGGAGCAAAGGCGGGTAATTGGAGTTGAGGTACAGATCAGCCAAGATCTAATAGTATGGCAGAACAGGCTTGAGAGGTTGAATGGTCTCCTTATATATAAGCAATCAAAGGTATTCTTGGATATGTGGACATGACTGAAGGGTGTAAAATACTGTATGCACAATGTTGTGGGTTTGAGAAGGAGCTTCGTTCATCTCCAAAGCGGGGGATGTGGGATTTATTATTAAACTGAGTTTAGCTCTTAAGTTTGAGGCACTTCTGAGTACTTCTAAAGAGGCAACTGTTGGATTGTATCTTTCAGCATAGTTTGTTTTGCTATCTTTTAAAGAAGAATCTAGTGATTCTAAGGGGTGCCTTCTAGTGCAACTCGGTCAAAACTGATAATAAACATAATAATTGATATAGCGCCTTATCACATCTCAAAGAGCTTCACAGAATATATTGTCAAATGGAGTGACTGTGTATTTTGTGAGTGAAACATTTGAATTCCTAATGCAGTATATTGATCAATTGTGTACTGATATCTAATCTTCCTGTTGATTTTATGAAATTTATAAGAACCCAGTGTCTTAAGATTGTATCAATAACTAGTGTGCTAGAACAGTCTGACCGACGTTGATTTGCTACCATCAGTAACTAAAAATCATCTGTTCCATTACCCCAGAGGAAAAACATCCTGAATGCAACTATTTGTGACATTGTGAATTCCAGGTCATTAGCCCAATCAGGCCCACCGTTGGTGGGTGAGTTTTCATGCATTCTGTCCCCACTTTCTGGATCTCCATCCCAAAGAACCTCCACCTTGCTCCTCCCTCCCTTGCTCCCTGCCTCCCTTACTGCCTTTGAAGCCTGTTGTAACACCTATCTTGTCATAGCACCATTGAAAATGAATGTACTACAAACAGATACTCTTGAGCTTGAATGTGTTTTTAACAGTGAACTGTATGTGGAATAGACTTTCCAGGGAGGCAGCGAAAGCAGATGGATTGTATCACTAAATTCAAGAGGAATTAGATACCTTTTTGGGGATTGTAAAGCGCAGGATTTTCACATACACCATAGGATTTTCCTTTAACTAGATGAAACCTATAACAAGTCCAAGGTATCCTAATGCATGTGCGATGAAAGAAGAAAATTCTTGTGATCTTGAAAGATGGGAACGCATTGAAGGCTTTACATACCAGTGGTTCGTTGGATAGTGCACACAGGTGGATGAGTCTCCACAAGTCCAAGCTCTATGACACTTGAAAGGAATATAGTGGAATTCTGGCTGGCCTGGCAGCATTGTTGTTGTGCAGTCATCCAAGCAAGCTTTACAAGGTTATGCATCTTTTCAAACATCACTTTAACCCGAACAGGCCAATATCAGACGTGCCACTGATGAGTGAAATGCTGTTCCAGAAGATGGGGGAGTTGAAGGCATTACAGTTTGATCAAGTGCTGTTTCCTTTACCACATATGAGAGAGTCAATTAAAGTCCATCTAATGCCTCTTGGAATTTGCACAATGAATATACCAAGCAAGTAGTTTGTTTTTCTTACAATAGTTTTCGCTTCTGAGGGAATTAGAGCGCAGCTGGGCTTGAGGTTTGTTTTCTTGAATGGGGATAGAATTGGAGGATGATTAGGCTTTGTACATGAGCTGAAGGCTGTGAGTGGTCTTTTTCTGCAGACATTTGAGTCCATCTAAATTGAAAGAACGAAGCCTTTCAATTGCAATATTACAAAACAATTTGCACTTATTTGTCTTGATTCATCACTTCAGATTGTCCCCACCATTATACTCTAGTATTTCATAGCTCTTAAGTGCTGACAAAAGTTTGTAAGAATAGTTCCGAGTATGTGCACTCCGAGGACTCACCCTACCAGAGTGAAGGGTGCTATATTAATGCAAGTTGTTATTGTAAGAATAGTTAGATCCTTACCAATTTTAGTGCACAGTATCCAAATATTTTCACAAGGTTGGAGGGAGCCTTGTTCCATGTTTATTTGTATTGATCTACCCTGTTGTTCAACTGTTGCTCTGTAATGTATGGTGTGTGAAAAAATGTTGTCTGTTTACTTGAGTGCTGTCAAAACAACTAAAAGCCAAAGTGTCTTTGGTTGCTGACAGTCAAAGTGTTGTGTTATAGGACAAATACTGAAGCTGACAGTCCTGATGTTCTGGACCCATCAAAATATATTGATATATTGATACTGAGACTCTGGGCGCTCCACTCCAGCAATCGTTAGTTTCACCAGTGTTTTTTGGTTTAGAGCATGGGATAAATAAAAAGATTTCTAATATGAAACACTGTACACTATACACTATATTGTTGTGATAACACATTTTAAGATTATATAAATTAGGTTTCAGAGAAGAATTCAACAAAAGTAGGATCTGCCCGGTTTGGTATTTATTTTATACAATGTGAAACATTTTGAGACTCAGGGTTGTAATGAAGTTTGTATCACACAATCACCCAAGCCTTGGCTCTTGCCAACCTGCGAGTAATACTTTCCATAAATAGGTAAGCACGATGCATCCCTCCAGGGAAGAGAGTGCACATTCCAGCAATCTATGGGATTTCCATGTGTAGGTGGGATGCATGGAAATCTCCACTTGGTGATGCTGTTAAGCATAGTGATGGGTTTCTGTATGTGTCAGATACCTGGTTGACCAAAAAAAAAGAAAAATCCCCTAAACTTTGGTGGGAAAATCCAAATAGTGGTCATTGGGGGAAAGGGTGTTGAGAAAAACAGAAGTAGGCTTGTTTGAGTTTTGAGACTGAATTTAACAATCGTGTTAGCAATCAGTGTACAATGGCATCACTAAATTATGTCAAACTTTTGAAAAATTATTGGATAAAGCAAGGCAATATTAGACAATCGAAACAGTTTAATTGATTTTTTTCCTGTTTTGAAATACTTATTTTGTTTCAGGCATTTGTGAAAGATGTCTGCGAAGATTCTCTCGCCATTACCTTTGAGAACAAGTGAGTATTTTGTTTATGAAGAGCTTAAAGGATATCAAAAAGTTGATTGCAATGAGACGAACTACAGTCTCTAGAATTTATTTTTCTTTCACTCTACGTTGAAGTGGAACTTCGATTATACTGAGGTGGGGGAAATAAAGATTATCTGATTGTTGGGTGGGGATTGTTGGGGTAATACTCTATTCAAATGATATTTTGTGCTTTTCGACACTTTAAAAGAGGGAGATGTGTAAAATGTCTGCTAATAATGGGAATGAATGGGCCAAAACTAAGCCAAGAAGGAAAGTGGTTTGACACAAACCTGAGCTATCTCTAGCCTTTATGGTATGATTGAGATTCCTAGTGAATCTGAATATTAATTTGCTGAGACCTTGCTGAGCATTTTACCCCCAAAATTAAATTAATCATTCTGAGGAAGTACAGAATATATTGCGCCAGTGTTTTTTATGCATTGTGTATTGTACATATTATTGAAAACTATGTTTTTTGATAGTTGGCAGCCAGGACGCCAGATTCCCTTCTGTGATGTGCGATTACCACCTCCTCCTGAATACAAAAAGGACATTGGTGAAGGGGATGAAGTTGAGGTGAGTTGGCAGTCACTTTATTGTAGTTGCATCCTGGTGGCATCTTTAAGCTTGTGTTGTCTTTATCCAGAGCCTCCTGCTACACTTTGAACAAGGCTCCAACTATAGGCTATATTTGTTCACAATGTGTGTCGTGGTATTTTCATTCCATATGTACATTTAAAGATGAGTGTGGCACAATTTTCTATTTTGTTTTCCTGATTGACTGCTGTGCCTGAAGGTCTAGTGAATTTGCACCCACTCTTGTGTTTTTACATTTTTGTGTCCAGTTATTTCTTATTCCTTCCTTCATTGGTAAGTACCCCTGTTCTCCAGCCTCCTCATACTGGTGTATGGCTCCATGATTGCTGGCTGCCCTCTGGTTCCCTGCCCAAGTAGCCATTGTTTAGTTGTGAGCCTTGGCTACTCAACTGTAGAGAGCAGCATAGCTGAGCCTAAATCCCTCCAATAGCATAGGAAGGCAGTGGCCGATTCAGCCACCCTGTTCACCTGCTGAGACCAATAAACTCCCATGCACCCAGATTCAACTCAGCGAGCTCCTGGTACATAAAATGCACGTCTATCCATGATCATCAAAGCTTTTCCAGCGATGGCTTAAGAGGTTGGTGGTGGAACAATTTCCAGGCAGAAGGTGTTCCCAGCAAGCCATGGGAGCCTGAAGATAGCGGGCCCAGATGTGTCTGTTTCCAAACATTAGCAACTATGGGTTTTTCACTGTTAATTGAATAGACCTGCACTAAATCTGCTAATCCAGGTTATTTATGTTATACTTGTGACAGAAGGTGTGCCATGATGCACTGTTCTATCTCTGAAATATCTATGTTAAGATGCAGTACCTAACTCACACACAGCCACTAGATGGTGTCTATGTGCCAATTTGATTTCCAACCATATCTTTTAGGATGAGTTTTGAAGGGAACTTGTAAGAATTTGTAAATGAGCCTACGGTCACCTACCGCTCGCTTGCTCACCATAGGACACCGCCCTTGTGAAGCACTCTGAGACATGGTGAAGGGTGCTAATTAAATGCTAGTTGCTGTGAGTAACTCCCAATATAACTGACAGATCATAAGCAGATAAATGCTAATAGTGACTGGTCCATAAACTCGTGTTATCTTGAGGACTGGAGCAGTTTGGCCCAACGTTGGGTCATTGATGTAATTCCCATGACTTACACCTAGGCCAATAGAAAAGTGCGGCTGCACTTTTTCCGTGGAAGTCACTGCAAACTCTTGCGCTGTTTGCTCGGCTCTGCGACTGTGGATGGAGTGGTGGGTTGGTGCGATCAGGATATCGGCTTTGCCTGCGGCGCAAACTGAACTCCTGTGACCAATTCATGGTAAATGCTGTACTTATTCACATTAACATTTTTAGTATTTTAAACATAACTACATGTTCAAGAAACGTATGCCAATAGTTTTAATCCGGATTGTTTCACAAAATGCATCTCTCAATAGCACCGATCAAATCCCCAACTATTCCCCGCAAGATTTGGCAAATGCCCCGCAATTCTCCACAAATATTTCCGCACTTTTCTATTGGCCCAGTTTACAACTACCTAGTATGCATCTTTGGTATACTCTTAAATACATGCCTGTCTCTGGAATATTCCACCCCTGGAATTTTATCGCATTATTATAAGCTGGGTCCAAACTGACTCGAAACGACTTGCTTCTGTTTGAATTATAATGGGAGAAAGGTTGCCTCATGCAAGTCTCAAAATCATACTTGATTGGGTCCTAACCACCACAAGATGCATTGATTGTTTTTTACTGAGAGCAACAAAATCAATGCTGAATAGCTGGCTCTATAGTGCTTCCTTCACCTTGCCTGTAGCATAGAGCAACATGACATAGCTCAGGAGAGTTTGAAGTTGAATGTATTAGATATAAAAATCACACTTGGGCTGTAGTTGGAGGATTCTATCCAGTTCTGGAGATCATATTTTAGTAGGAAAGATTAAGGCCTTGAAGAGAGTACTGAGTACAGAGGAGAGTTACATGGATGAGACTAGGGATGAGAGGTTTTATTTAAGAGAAATAGTGGCCTGTTTTCGCTGCAACAAAGGAGGTTGAGAGAGAGATGACCTGATCGCGATGTTTAAGATTGTGTGGGAAAGGGCAAGGGAATTGTAGTGAAGTGGGTAGCTCTTTCAGAGACGTAGTGGGCTGAATGGCCTCCTCCTGTGCTGTAAATTTTATGATTTTTTTTGTTAATACATAATACATATAATACTAAAAAAAAGTTTCTTTCGGAACACAAAAGGCAAGCTTGGTTGTAATTTGAGTATGCGAATTGTCCAATTAGGTGGTGGAAATTGCTGAAACAGATTTGTGCCAATATTGATGTTGTGACGCAGAAGGGTGTAATGGCTTAATTCAGCATGGGGTATCCATTGTGTGACACACATTTCATTGCGGACTGGAGAAGGTTGGGAGACGCATTCTAACCTGTCTTTGGGATCAGTTGTTAGCGTGGAATTTCAAATGCATTACTCCATTCCGGCTCTATTTGGCTGCCTCCCCTATGGTTTAAATTGGGCAAATTGTAGCAATCTTTTGTCAATTGGAGTGCTTTTTGTTTTTCAGCCAGTGTCAGTGATGGGAAGTAGCTTTTTTTGTACTCTGATGTGAGCAGCGAGGCCCCCAACTGATTGCACTGGGAGTGCAGTGAGAATGTGACATATGAAAATTTGGAAAGAACCCATTTTCATAATGAAACGGCATTGAAAATGTCCCCATTTGACAGATGTGTTGTCCATGATATAGTAGTTATTTTGATGACAGCGTGGTTGTTGAAGGAACATCCGATTTTAACATTGGAAATGATGGGAATCAAAATCTGAAAGGAAAAACATTCAGGTTACAAATGTCTTAACTCTTTTGTGCATCTTCATGTGCAGATTGCAAGCTAATGTTCGGGAAGTGTTCCTTCATATAGAGTATCTGCCTAGCAACCTCTGTCTGTTTGCCATTGGCTTTTGAACGGGTAAAAGGCATATGATCTGTGTTTTGGCTGCCGTGTTTCGCCTGCAAAATACAGTCATATCACTTTACAGTATATTCTGTGAAGCGCTGAGAGATGTTTCGCAAACGTGATAAGGAACAACAACAACAAGATTACATTTGTATAGTGCCTTTCGCGTCAGGAGGATGTCCCAAGGCGCTGGGCAGAGTACAGCGTTTCAGATCCTATATCAAATGCAAAGATTATTATTGTCTGTGCCTACAAAACACGGTTACTAAACTTTATAGTATATCCCGTAAAGCACTTTGAGATGTCTTCCCAACATGAACGATGCAATTATTATTATTATTTTCCCATCTCCAACTAACAAGTCATTCATAGATTATTTATGATACAGAAAGACTCAGATCATGTCTGCACTGACGCTAGCTCCTCTGCTAGATCTATCTAATCCCATCCCCCTGCTCGTTTCCCCATATCTGAGTATATTTAGTTATCCGCCCGACGTGAAAGGTGATCTATAAATGTAATTTTGTTGTTGTTGTATTTGCTTCAAGTATTCATTCTATTTCTTTTTACTATTGCTATTTTGAAACCTGCTTTGACAGCCATTTGTGCAAAGCATTCCACATTTTAACAACTCTCTATAATATAATATATCATATTATGTTATTATAATATAATGTATAACATATATAAGAAACGAGCTTCCCATTATGAAATCTAATGGTGTTGCCATGCTAGCATTACCATTAATATCCAGTGAAGACTCAAAGCAATTAGTGACTAATATTGGTAAGTGGAAATGATTGCCTCAAAATGTTGTCTTCCTACAAAGAAAATGAATGAACTGCTGCTCGCGCCTTGATCTTGGCGTGTTGTGGATTTATGTTTACTTCTATATTTAATTTTATTGATTGATCAGGCTAGTTATTCTCTCCCTAATTTACATTTCACTGAAACCAAATAATTGTTTGTTCAAAGCTTTTTTTTAATAACCCGAGCTACAGTCTGTTTGTAGAGTGCTCAGAAAACAGACATGTCCCACTCACGAAGATGTGAGAGGGGTATTTGCAGTGAGTGTGTGTGCGTGTGTATTCTCTTGACCGAATGTAATATGGTTGTATGATCCCTTATTCCTTGAAAGTTGATTTTGCTTTTCTCTCTCACCCCCCCCCCAAAATAGGTTTACTCCAGAGCAAATGAGCAAGAGCCCTGTGGGTGGTGGCTTGCCAAGGTTCGGATGATGAAAGGAGAAGTAAGTTTTTAAAAGAGGGCTTTCAAAATGTTTTGAGCTAAATCCTTGCAGTGTAAACCGATAATGTGGAATTGCTAAATTTCTATTCAGTTATTTTGCTTCAGGACATCTTCTCTAGAAATTAAAATATTTTACATCAGTGTTTTGAATTAATCAGCGTAAAGCCTATTTTGTCACAAAGTGCACTAAAAGTATGTTGTGGAGTTCTGTAGCTTAGTGGTTAGATCATTTGCCTCGCAAGCAAGAGGAACTGGTTTTAAATCCCTGGTAGCGCGAAACATTGGGACAAGTTTCCTTACTCCACACGTCTCTGTTGTCCTAGCAGTAAGTAGGAACCCGGTTGTTAGTCGATTGGTGGATCGCTTTTCTGTGGGTAATCGCTACAAAAAATATTAATACTAATAATTATTTGGTCACTCAATCCATGACTGTTTGTGGTGCACTCAGAATTGGCTACCCACGTTTCACCCACAAAATATACAGTCAATTCACTCTAAAGTATATTCTGTGAAGCACGTCTCGAAGACGTCATAAGGCGCTATATTAAATGCAGGCATTATTATTATGTTTGGTGTCAGTGGCTTAGTTCTGTGTGAAAGTGTAGCCAGCAAAAGAGGTTTATGAAATTAGCCGGAGGAAACTAATGTTGTAGCTGTTACATTGAAAGAGTCAGTCAGTTTGTGTTCTAAAAGGAGTGCCAGGATTTCAAGCTGTTGTATCTATTTGCCCAGTTTTACGTGATCGAATATGCTGCCTGTGACGCAACGTACAATGAGATTGTTACCTTTGAACGGCTACGACCTGTGAACCCAAACAAGACGATCACAAAGAATACTTTCTTCAAGTGTACCGTCGAAGTCCCTGATGATTTAAAAGAAGCGTAAGTGGAGATGCGTGCCCCATTCCTCTCTGTCTCTACCAATTGTATGCTGTGCATTCAGTGCCATGTGCAGTATTCTGAAACAATTACATATAGCTAGCAATGTCTGGGACTAAATTTTTTCCTCCTTGTTTCTCCAGTTGTGCAAATGAAAACATCCACAAGGATTTCAAGAAGGCAACTGAAGCAGACTGCATTTTTTATAGCCCTGAAAGTGGTCAATTGGTGGCTCTGGTAAGTCCTGAAGTGATTTTCACATTGAATTCTTTCTAAGTGCTCCAATAGTATAGATGCATTCAAGAGAAAGTTAGACCTTCACATGAGAGGGGAGGAGGTTAACAAAAAATGGGTGGAGACATGTGTGGAGTATGTTTATGGGACACTGATGTGCGCCATTGGCTGCTGCGTTTCGCCCACAAAATACACAGTCAATTCACTTTACAGTGTATTCTGTGAACCCTTTAAGACGTCTCTGAATCGTGATAAAGCACTATATCAAATGCACAGATTATTATTGTAAACACTGGCACAGACTGCTGGGTAAAGTGGCTTGTTTCCATCCTGTAAATTATTTGTAATTGCGGATTAAGTGTTTAAAATGATTTTTCTTTGAACCTAGTCTACCAAAGAAGCCACGGTGAAGAGAGTTAGCATTCTGAGTGACATGCACTTGCGTAGCATCCGAACAAAGCTGATGCTCGTGTCCAGGAATGAGGAGGCCACAAAGCATTTAGAGGTAAATACTAAAACGGGCCGTAATTAAGGTCTTGCTCTGCATGTTGGCTTCCCAAAGCAGCGTGGATCAGATTAGTAACTGGCAAAGGTGCAGTTTGAATAAGTATCCACCTGCTCAGCATTGTTTTGCCCTAAAAATACACAGTACTCCACTTTACAGTATATTCTGTGAGTTGCTTTGAGGCATCTCAACGCTATGTTAAAAGTATATCAAATGCAAGGATTATTCTGTTTATTATTGTAATAATTGAATAGGTTGTGTTGCATTCATTGTTTGGTGACTGCCCTGCTGGTAAACCAGCCAATATTGGTGCTCCTTCTGAATTCGCTAGGAGTTTTACCCTCACAACACACGGTCGCTTCACTTCACAGTGTATCCTGTGAAGTGCTTTCAAGCTTTCTCCCAACATGTAAGGCGCAGTATCAAATGCAAGGAACATCATTATTATTTATTTGAACTTTCAGAGCACCAAGCAGCTAGCAGCAGCGTTCCAAGAGGAATTCACAGTCCGCGAGGATCTGATGGGACTAGCGATCGGAACCCATGGCTCCAATATCCAGCAAGCCAGAAAGGTTTCTGGGGTCACAGCAATTGAACTCGACGAAGTAACTGGCACATTCAGAATTTATGGAGAGGTACATTTTACTTGAGGGAAGGGGTGAACAGTCTTTGGATTTGTAACACAGAGAACTGTTTATAAATACCTTCTCCATGGTGCGGTATGTCAGCCTGGCACAGTGGTAGCACTCTTTGCCTCTGAGTCAGATGGTTGTTGGGTTCAACCCCCTTGTTGGGGCTTGGAATCACAGCTTCGACTGCTCAGTTGTAGTCTAAGCTGATGCTCCCAATGCAGCGCTGGGGATGGTTGGTTTGTTGGACATGCTGCGTTTCACCCGAAATTTACAATCTCCACTTTACAGTATATCCTGTGAAGCATTGTGCAACGTCTCGGCCCAGTAAGGAACAACAAGTGTTTACGTCTGTACTTAGTAATGTTCCAAGTGAATTCAGAAACTCCCTCCTACCTTGTATATTCTTTTTCCCACCTGCAAGGGTGCTCAGCACAAATTCATCTGGGTTTGATTGTAAACTAAGGAGATGTTGACCTGCACAGAGTAACTTGGAGCTTGTTGTTTCATGGCTTATTGGCACCATTTTGACCAGTTGCTGTTTTCAGTGACATTCAGTGAAATTGGAAACTTGTAGCTGAGTTGCTGGAGCAACTGCCTTGAAACCCAGGAGCCAGTTGATTTTAAAAAGAAATTCCATGGCTATGTGATCCAAGGTCTCCTTACTGAGGATGCCAACATACAAACTAAAGTACATAAAGCAAAGTGGGGAAATATTCTGTACGGTCGAGCAATTATTGAAGCGGCTCCACTCCTCCAGGAGGTGATATCAAAGAGCTGCCAGCTGATGTGGTTGATGGAGCTGAGTTTACATCTGTGGACACGGCTTGGCTGTTTGTTGTCAAAGCCTGCGATGTGACACTAAAATTGGCTGAATTTGTTTTCATGGTGATCACATTACAGCAGCTATAATAATAAGCCTTGCTTTTGGTATAACGCCTTATCACATCGGATCAACATCTCAAAGCACTTCACAGGATTTTCTGTGAAATGGAATGACTGTGTATTCGTTGCTAAACTTAGCAGCACAATTGTGCACACCAATGTCCCACAAACAGCCATGGAGTGAGTGACCCAATTTTTTTGTTTTGTTTGGAAGCTCTGAGTTTATCTTTGTGAGCATGTCCTAATGGCCATTCGGTGGGCTTCAAGCACTACCTGTAGCGCAGCTAGGAGCTCAAGAGATCCTCAGTGGATTTCGCCATACAATCATTAATCATTCACACGTTTTGGCTACTGTTGTCTAATCTTTTGCCAATAGGAGATTTGAAAAAAGGGCAACTTGTTGGAATTTTCCAATTACACAATTAAATTGCACCTGCGTGTTAGAGGAGGATCTAAAGAATGTGGCTGCTTGACATTCACATGCCCTAAAACATATGAAAGATCAAACATTACGTCAATAAACAGTGCATTTGTTTTGGAAAGGGCTATATTTTGTGCTTTGCCACTGTCGAATGTGCTGAGGCGCTACCTTGCATGAGTGGTGCTACATCAATGCAAGCTGCTGTATTTGGAGGTTCACTTTGATTGTGATTTAATAATAATAATAATAATCTTTGCATTTGATTTTCTACACATCTCAAAGCTCTTCACAAGAATATACTGAAAGTGAATTAACTGTATATTTGTAGGTGAAATGATTTGTGTGTACAGAAGTAAAAAGAAGACTTGGTAACCTGGAGCGCATGACTAACTTGGATGATCTGTGATTTTTTTCAGTCTGAAGAGGCAGTCCAAAAGGCTAGAAATTACCTGGAGTTTGTGGAGGATTCAGTGCAAGTGCCCAGGGATTTAGTCGGTAAGTATTGTGTGCAAATAGAGTTTTGATTTACAGTAAATATCTTATCTAAGAACTACAATTTAGATTTTTTTAGATTGAAAATAGCTTAAGTGATGAACTCATATGGTGGCAACTACGCTCATGTTGTGTTATCAAAAGGACAATCCCCTCAACAACAATTCATTTGAGCCTGAAGGAGGGGGACAGTATAACAGATTTAAATTTGTATAATGTTTTAATCCTGAGTCTCGATTATTTAAATGAATGAGTACATACACGGTTATTGAGAAGGATTGTTGATGTGACGTGTCTTTAATTCTGTTCATAATGCAATGAATATTGTCCCTGTTTTATAAATGATGTACATTTTTCAGATCCTTTCCCTCAATCTCTTGATATTGTGATGGGAGCTATTGATGATTGATCACTTACGACAGGATAACCCTGTTATAATCAGATCATCTGTGTCCAATGCCTCAGGCATGTTATGATGGGGTACCCTGTATGTGGAATAAGTTTGAGAGTGCTGCGGAGCAGACACATTGTGCAGAACTCTCTAAAGCATTGCAATGAATTTTATTGTCTTGTAGGTGAGAGGTGTTAGCATTGGGAAATGTAGACGGTGCCCCTCAAGACATCTAGAATTGGGTTTAGACGGGCCAATCTAATACCACAAAGGGTTCTTACAGACCAGACAAAAGAGGCTTTATTTAATCCCAGTTCCAGAGATCCTTAATTTCTTTTCATGGATAGAGACGTCAGTTCCTCATTCATGATTTATCGAGCAGTATATAACTACCGTCGGCACAACCTGTTAATTTCTTTGCCTTTTAGATCATTTAAAAACAGAAAGAATGGGTTTATGTTCAAAATAGTTCACTGCAGATTGAAATTGCTGACCACTTTCTTGTCACAGGAAAGGTTATTGGCAAAAATGGGAAAGTTATTCAAGAGATTGTGGATAAGTCTGGCGTCGTCAGAGTGAGGATTGAAGGCGACAATGATAGCAAGCAACCGAGAGAAGAGGTAATGTGCTCCTGTGCGTGGAGTCCTGTAGCGTAGTGGTTAGACCACTCTCCTTTTTCACTGCACGAAATACAGGTTTTAAATTGTAAAGGAATTCACTGAGTGATGGGGTATTTTGCTCTGCACTTTGATCACACTCACAATCAGATTTCCCGTTTCTGCGCTGATTAAACTAACAGCTACATAAGCCATTGCTCCCGAGAGAGGATTTTGTGTGACAGTGTAAAGACTTGGTGAAAAGATAAATCCATACCCTTCGGATAAGATCGGCTTTTTAAATTCATTTAGTGATCTGGACAGATATTTCTATAACAGTGACATACAAGTGATGTATATACGCTTTGCGTTCCTAGGTATTATTTCTCAGTACATTTTGTCTATAGTTGGTAACATTGGTTTAGAAAGTTTCTAAAAGATTATTTTTTCTCTTTCAGGGGATGGTCCCTTTCACGTTTGTTGGAACAAAGGAAAGCATCGGAAATGTCCAAGTCCTGTTGGAGTACCACATCTCTTACCTGAAGGTATGTTTGCAGGTGTGGTTGGAATGGGTTAATAGTGCTTCCTCTCCTTTCCCCTCCCCTCTACTACCTTTCAGCCCATCCTGGAAATCAGGTTAATGTGTGGCTAGAAGCCCAGTGCAAGAGTGCTCGCGTTGGGGTAACTGCTGGAGTCCAGCAAGCAAAAACCACATAGCTTGCCATTGATATCACGCTCTGTCAAGCTTACCTGCTGCTTGTCGAGTTAGGACCACCCTAACCACCGGCTTTGGCATGCAGAGTGATCAGGAACTGAGTGGGAGGATTCCCCGCCCCAGTGACTATTCTGCCCTTCCAAGTCCTGCCAATGAGCCAGACTGGACTGTGCTGTCATCAGCAATGCCCTGTAATACTGTGCCCCCCCCGGCTCGGGAACTGAACTGTCGAAACCGCCACATAGGACTGGCTCAATTCCAACATTCTGTTACCAAACATGCTGACCAACTAGTGACTATCCTCCTTGGTAGGGGAAGTGGGGTTAGCCCAATGCAAACCAAACCTGAAGAGGCTAGGGACAAGAGGCAGATGAATATGAGGAGAAAATAATTGGACAAGTTTTTAAAAATAAATAAATAAAATTGGAACTTCTTTTTAGAAGGTTGTCGGGTTCTTTCTGAGCGTGCTTGTGGTGTTCTCCCTCTCTCAGGAAGTGGAGCAGTTGAGAATGGAGAGGCTGCAGATTGACGAGCAGCTGAGGCAGATTGGGATGGGATTCAGACCTGCGTCCGGCCGCCCAGAGAAGGACAAGGGCTACATGACAGACGAGAGCACAGCTTCCTCCCTGCACGCCAGCCGGTCCTACCGTGGCCGAGGGCGCAGAGGTCCGAATTATACATCTGGTTACGGTGAGGCCTGCCCCACCTCCCTGTCCTACTGGCACTCGCTCTAACCTTCCGTCATTTTCTAGTTCATAGAATCCTAGAATATTACAGCTCAGAAGGAGGCCATTCGGCCCATCGTGCCTGTGCCAGCCCTTTGGAAGAGCTACCCAATCAGTCCCACTCCCCCGCTCTTTCTCCACATCCCTGCAAATTTTTCCTTTCCAAGTACCTATCTAATTCTCTTTTGAAAGTTGTTATTGAATCCGTTTCCAGATGACTGACTCCAGCTCTTCATAGGAACAGGAGGAGGCCATTCAGCCCCACAAGCCTGTTCTGACATTCTATTGGATCATGGTTGATCTGTACCTCAACTCCAATTCCTCAATACCTTCATCAGTCTGGCCCCCATGTTCAATGGAACGTGCGGGAAAGCTTACTCCAAATCCGTGTAAAAATCCTAATACCATTAATATAAATCCATTTGCCTGGTGATGTAGTGGGCTTTTGCTTTTCCTTTTTTTAAAATGTAGTCATAATGATTGTGGGACCCTGCTTTGCGGAATTGGCTGCTGCGTTTCGCCCACAAAATATACAGTCTATTCACTTAATATATTCTGTGAAGAGCTTTGAGACATCTCGAAGACATGATAAGGGGCTACATAAACTGCAAGGATTATTATTAATATCTCCACTCGCCTTTTTTGAGTCCTGCAATTTGTTAACAATCGCGCTTAACATGAAAATAACGATCTTGCACGTGAACGCTGCTTGTTGAAACTCTTTGAGACATTTTGATGTTATAGGCACAGTGTCAAGTGCCAGTGTTATTGTCTTGCGTAAAGGAATAGGTTATTTGCGCTCTGCTTTCTAGTAACAGGCTTGGGAGTGTGGTTTGTGGTCTGCCATAGTCATAGAATGGTTCGGGAGTGGGGGGTGCTCTAGTACAGAGTATAGAGGTCTTTAAACTACTTGACTAATTTATCCCAAATGCCCTTGTATTTCTTGTCAACACAGGAACAAATTCAGAACTGTCCAACGCGTCGGAGACGGAATCGGAGCGAAGGGACGAGTTGAGCGATTGGTCGCTTGCCGCGGAGGACGATCGGGACACCAGGTCTCAGCGTGACAGCCGGCGGCGGCCCGGGGGCGGGAGAGGACGAGGGGGGGGACAGAGCAACCGAGGCCGGGGAGCACCGCGAGGGGGCAGCTCCTCAATCAGCTCAGGTAATGAGAGTTCGGCTCCGCAATCCTCTCTCCCTCTCCCTCCCTCCCTCCTCCCCCCTCTAACATACACATACATGCGTGTGCACATGTGGCCACATGTCTACCTGTTGAACTGGATCAGCAGCTGGTTGTTGTGTGATGTGCAGTTGCTTGCAATGCTCTTGAGGCAAAGCTCAGGACATGATCCCAATGTCTTGATGTCTGATGTCTTGACACCCACACTGACTGACTGTACAACAATAAGATTACATTTGTATAACGCCTTTCACGTCGGGAGGACGTTCCAAGACACTGACTGTACAGAACATCTATCACACACACACTGACTGCCTATACAGAACGTCTATCACCACGCAGTGACCGTGACTGTACAGAGAGAACGCCTGTCACACACACTGACTGACTACAGAACAGAGCGCTGTCACACTGAGAGGAACGAGAGGCTAAAGAAAATCTCGGGGAAATATTGCCACTCCATTCATCAATGTTATCGACTGCCTTAATTGATTCAGTTTGCGATCCCTTCTCTCTCTCTCTCCCTCTGCCCCACCCTCAGTGCTCAAGGATCCAGACAGCAATCCCTATAGCTTGCTGGACAACACCGAGACCGATCAGACAGCGGACACTGACGCTAGCGAATCTCACGGCAGCTCCAGTCGCCGCAGGAGGTCACGCCGACGTAGGACAGATGATGATGCCACCATGATCGACGGAATGACTGAATCTGACAGCGCTTCTGTCACCGAGAACGGTTTAGGTATGAACCTCTACTGAATTTCCTCACTTTTTTTTTTTGGTAAGATTGCACAAGGCTGGTGGGTGGTCAGGCTTTCAGCTGTGTGTCCTGGCCAACAATTCCCCCAGATGAAATTAGTCAGTCACTTCCTGGCTGTTTGTGGGATGTTGCTGTGCGTAGATTGTCGGTTGCGCTTGCGTACAAAATGCAGTCATGACACTTTACGGGGAAAACGCTTTGAAATGTCCTCCAGCCGTAAAAGATGCTGTATGGGTAAGATTGTGCCTTGCTTTCTGGAGCTTTCTACCCCCAAATCCCCTTTGCCATGTGCCCAATCTCCCTCCCTGCCTTTCAACTGTTTCTTGAGCCCACGCCGCGCGCTTGGGGTTTCAGTTCTCAAAGCCGAACCTCACAGAGAAAGCCTCCATGACACTTTGCGTTTGCAGATGATGAGAGGAAACCGCAGCGACGCAATCGCAGCCGCCGGCGACGCTTGCGTGGTCAGATCGAGGGCTCCCCGAGCATGGACAGGCAGCCAGGTAACCGGTGCTCACAGCACACCTGAACTGTGCCTGCCACAGACAGCATAGCATGCAGGAGTGTTCCGGTGTTTGACTGGTTGGGTGTCTGTGTGTGTCACTGCTCCACGCTCTGAACAACTCAGCCTTAATGTGTTTGCTGCTTGTGAGTGTAAACCTGCTTTGATATCGTAACAACCTCCCTCCCCCCCCCAATAAAGCAGGGTTATCTTGAATTAAAGAGTGACACTTTTCACTCTGAATATCATGGGTGCGAGAGAGGGGAGAAAAATTTAAAGCAAATTCATGTTAATAGTTGTTAGCACAAGAAAGTGGTTGCAATTTCTAAGCAGGTAGTCCCTGTGTTTGCTGTTAGTTTGCCCTATGTCTGCTTCCCTATATTAATCGCAGAACCTTCACAGAGCAGCAGGAGGCTATTCAGCCCATTGGGTCTGTGCTGGTGCAAATTCAGTCTGATCCCGTTCCTTGGTCTTTTCATCTTGTATTATTTGGTACTAGTTTCCTCGCTGGAGCTCGCTAATAATTCCATCCCCTTCTCTTTTACCCCTTGTAATTTTCCTTAAGTCAGTGAGCGTTTTCTTTACTGTGTCATACACCTTATTCTAAACCACTTTATTTTCCGCTGTGATCAGCCGTTTCTTTCACAGTTTCTGCACACGGCAAAGAGGGTTTGGTGGTTTTCCGTGCTGTGAGATATTGAACTTGACAGCGTTTCAGCTTACACCATTGTTATCATTGCTGGTAATGCCTTGTGCTGATCAGGACCCTTCCCAGTTAACTCCACACTTCATTGTGTTACACGGAGTCAAACAACATGGAAAGAAGCCAATAGAGATGCACCAAAGGGATAAGGACAGGGAGCAACTTAGGGAAATGTTCATTAGTAGAGAATTGGTGCGAGGGAAAAAGTGACAAATCCCATGGTCCGGATGGCTTGCATCCCAGGGTTTTAAAAGAGGGAACTTATGAGATAGTGAAGGCTTTATGTGGTCTATTTGGACTTCCAGAAGGCATTCAATAAGGTGCCGCATAAAAGGTTAGTCCAAAAGATAAGGGCCCATGGAATTGGGGGGAGCATATTAACGTGGATTGGGGAATGGTTAACGGGTAGGAAACAGAGTAGGGATAAACGGGTCCTTTTCGGATTGGCGGGATGTGACTAGTGGATTACCACAAGGATCAGTCCTTGGGCCTCAGCTATTTACCATCTACATCAATGATAATAACATCGAAGCTAATATATCTAAATTCGCAGATGACACAAAACTAGGAGGAAGTGTCAACACAGAGGACGACATTAAAAAAATGCAGCGAGACATAGGTAGGTGAGGTGATTGGGCAGGTAGGTGGCAGATGAAGTATAATGTAGGGAAGTGCGAAGTCATCCACCTCGGTAGAAAAAACAGTAGAGCGGGTTATTTTTTTGAAGGGGAGAGATTAGAATGTGTTAGCGTCCAGAGGGACTTGGGTGTCCTTGTACACCAATCACAGAAAGTTAGTCTGCAGGTGCAGCAGCAATTAGGAAGGCAAATGGTATGTCATTATGAAAGGATTAGAGTATAAGAGTAGGGAAATTTTGCTGCAACTGTATAGGGTCCTGGTGAGACCACACTTGGAATACTGTGTCCAGTTTTGGTCTCCTCATTTAAGGAAGGACATACTTGCCTTGGAGGGGGTGCAGCGTAGATTTACTAGGTTAGTGCCGGGATGAAGGGGATGAGTTACGAGGATAGGCTGATCAATTTGGGCCTATATTCTCTAGAATTAGAGGGGATCTTATAGAAGCCTATAAGATCATCAAAGGGTATGATAGAGTAGATAGTGGGAGATTGTTTCCCCTGGTTGGAGAAACTAAAACCGGGGGTCACAACCTTAAAATCAGAGGTCAGCCCTTTCGCACTGAGTTGAGGAAGAACTTCTTCACTCAAAGGGAGGTGAATGTATGGAACTCACTACCCCAAAGGGCTGTTGACGCTCAGTCCTTGAACATATTCAAGACTGAGATAGATAGATTTCTTATTGCAAAAGGGATATGGGGATAAGGCAGGGTCAGGTTATTAGCTGGAGTTAGATTAGAAGATCAGCCACGATTGAATGGCGGGGCAGGCTCGAAGGGCTGAATGGCCTACTCCTGCTCTTACATGTAAAAAAATAAAAAGCCTGCTTCGTGTGGGAGGGAGGAGTGAAACATGAGGAGTGAAACTGTTTCTCTTCATTTCCCTTACCTAGCAGTCGTGAAATCTCGTGGTGAGCTGATGACAAACTCCCACTGAGTCTGGACTTTGTAATCCAGAGAATCCACTCGTCCTGGAAAACTCCCATTTTAGATTCGGAAACATTATCCTAGCCTGAAACGTTCCTAGGATTCCAGCTTCCTTCTCTTCTCCCCCCCCCCCCCCACCCCTCCCTTCCATGAAGGCACGATATATGGTGGAATAGTTCAAGAGGCACAGATAATCCATGTACTTTGCTGCAAATAGTTACACAGGAGACTTTTACGTGTCTTCCTATGTGACTGTGTCTCAGTTTAGCAGCATTTGTCGACAGGACATTTTGCCCAAAGGTATGTAGGTTGGGGTAAAGGTACTTGGAGGGTTGGCCACTGATTCATGAGTGAACACCCATGCTGGATTTGAACTGCATTCCTAGCAAATTAATGTTTGAGGTTGTGATCTTGTGAGATATTTGTAACCTTTGCCTTGTGTAATTCAGCAGGAATGGAGGGAGCGGGGGTGGGGGATATCAGCCTCTGCATGTTTGAGTGGCATGTGGATAGAGTGAGCACTGTAACCACAATTGATTTAACCACCAAAATCGTTGAAGCTTCTTTTGTCTTGTGATGCACACAATGATGAGGATTTGCAGATTATTGTTTGATTCCAAGAAAGAGAAACGGGTTGAGAATCCCTCTTAAAATGGTTACCTCTGTGTATATTTAACAAAAAGAGACTTCCAACCATTTTTTTTTCTGGTTTACAGTAACCGTGGCTGATTATATCTCTCGCGCCGAATCTCAGAGCCGACAGAGAGTGCAGCCCGCGGAGACTCTCACAGCGAGCAAAAAAGCAACCATCTCGGTAAGAAAGCCACACCTATCAATTCAGATTCATGCGTGTGCACGCACATGTGTGTATGTGTGTGTGTGTGTACGTGAGTGTGTGAATAAAAAAAGCCTTGGCCTGGACTTCTACCCTGCCCAATACAGCCTGCTTTTCCTGAACCTAAATTCTATTGTACACTGTCGACGTACTCCACCTGTCTTACTTTGGGGGTACGTAAATCTGTATCGGATAGCACAACAAATTATTATTTGTACAGCACCCTCCACGTCGGGAGGTCATCCCAAGGCGCTGGATGTAGAGTGAACAGAACTCAGATTACATTTTCGGGATTACAAAACGCCGGCTGAACATTGCAGTAAAAGATGTGATGTTTTTGGGTAGATCATTAATACATTTATTCTGTTTTCTAAAAGAGCCGTTCCCAGTAATAATAATAATAATACCTGCATTTTAATATAGCGCCGAATTACATCGGTGAGATGTCTCAAAGCGCTTCACAGTCTGTATGTGTGTGTGTGTGTATATATATATATATATATATATGCGTGTGTGTGTATATCACCTTCAGGCTCGACTGTGCAAACGTCCTGCTTGTCGGCCTTCCCAACTAGTCCCTCCACAGGCTGCAGATAATCCAGACCTCTGCAGCCCGTGTCCTCTCCCGCACCAAACTCCGTGACCCCATCTTCCCCACTCTCGTCCGACTCCATTGGCTCCCTATCCTTCAGAGGATCCAGTTCAAGATCCTGGCCCTCACCTACAAAGCTCTCCATGGCCTCTCCCCACCCTACCTCTGCGACCTCCTAACCCCCTATCAACCCGCCCATTCCCTCCGCTCAGCCGGCTCTGGCTGCTCCACGTCCCCCAACCCATCCGTCCCACCATTGGCGGGAGACCCTTCAGCCACTCTGCCCCCAACCTCTGGAATTCCATCCCCCAATCACTCCGCCTTGCCCCCTCCTTAGCCTCCTTCAAGTCCCGCCTCAAAACCCTCCTCTTCGACCAGGCCATCGGTCACTCCCCCCCGACCCCAGCTCAGGTCTGAAACACTACACTGTCCAGCGCCTTGGGACGTCCTCCCGAAGTGAAAGGCGCTATACAGATCTAAGGAGTTTGGAGGATTATATGTGTGATGTAAAGCAGACTTTTTTGAGATTTTCCTTGACATTGAGGTTTGTGTACACTTTTTTTCTGCTTAGCTTTGTGCAGAAATAACCTTGACCTTCTCAATTACATTCTCTCTCCCTCCCTCTGAAGCTCAGTTGATAGTGAGGAACTTTAATCCATGACTGTTTGTAGGACATTGCTCTGCGCGATTGGCTGCCGCTTTTTACAGTATTCTGTGAAGCACTTTGAGACGTCGCAAAGATGTGATAAGGCGCTATATAAAATGCAAGGAGTATTATAACTTAAGTGAAAGTGAGTTGTACTGACCTGACCTGCAAGTTCTCTGGTTCCATCCCCAGTTTGTGCTGAGTTAGCTTGTCTACCAACCACTGCATTACTGAGGAAGAAAATCAGCAATGGTTTCCTTTCTTGAGCGCTATTTGTGGAACAGGCTCAGTGGGCGGAATGGCCTCCGCCTGTTCCTGTGTTCCAACTCGGTGGCCCCTGGTGGAAAGAGTCTGGATTGGACTCGTTTTGGCTGTCCATTCCATTGTCTCCCTCCACAGTGAAAGACTCGCCACACTAACTATGTCGAGACTCGCACATGAAGAACGGTCACTTGGGCACAGGCCATGTTAAGAGCTAACTTTCCATTCAAAAGTGCGCTCACATTGGGGAAGCTCCTCCGACAGAGAGTGAGAGAAGGGGGGTGCCAGGGAAGGAAGGCCAAGCCATTCACAAATTAAAATCCCCCCCCCCCCCCCATTTGCGTCACTCAACTTTGGCTATAATTTAGCATTTTGTTCCGACTTCTTCAACCCGACAGGTACAAGAGGACGTGATTGACGAGCTGGCTCCCGCTGACAAGACAATGAACGGGACAGGCAACGCCTCTGGGGACGAGGCTCCAACATGCAAGGATTCCAAGGAAAGAAACCAACAGAGAAAGCACCAAGGAAACGGAACGCAGCAGCAGCAGCAGCAGCAACAAGTTGTGGTGAACGGCGTTTCTTAAACATTGCCCAATCCTTGTCCAGTTCTGCATAAATCACATTTTTCTAATAGTGCTTGTAAAAGCTTGCCAAAGATAGAATAAGGTCTGCTAGACTTTACAGTGCACTCTTTTTTTCCTAGTTCCTCCGTATTGGAATGGAGACGGGGAGGGTTGGTTCTTGAACAAAAAAAAAACACTTGTACAAATTGGTTTTTCACCTAGTTTTAAGTTCTCGATACATTATCAGATGTTGTGCCTTCAGACAGTAGATGCAGAATTACAAAAAGATAAAGAGCTGGCTGGTTGTAGGAAATGTTTTTGAAAAGTATAAAAAAAAGTTAAATTTTCAGAATATTCTGGAGATGGAGATCACTGACCTATTTACCGTAATGTATGTTATGGCATTAAAAAGCATTAGCTGCTTTCTCTTGTTGTGTTTCTCCTGATATGCAACCACTTTTCCTTCGTCCGAGAGAGAGAGGGAGAGAGAGAGAGAAAAAAAAACGATAGAAAATGCAGTTTCGAAAAAAAAAGAAAAAAAAAATGTTTTTGCACTGAATTGTAAATTTAACATTAGGGAATGCTAGGTGACACTGGTCTGGATACTGGTCAATTTTACTAAATCTGTGTAGGTTTTTTTTAAAATGCTGTATGTACGATAAAACTTGCAGACCACTGGAGAAAACTTAACTCGCGTGCATCTATCTATCTGTACATCTGCAGGGACATGGGGGATGGATGTCATTGGCAGTGACTGTTTCACACACACACAAAATAAGGAGCTTTGTTTGGTTTATTTATTAATAACTGTACAGTATTTAAAAATCAAGCAATGCTTTGGATGTTACACTAAACCGGTTGTAGATGTCATTGCCAAAATAATCCAACTACTGTAAGATCAAGTTCCAGAGAAACCATTTTCCATGTAATTGGTTGAGTCCTTTAGAGTATTTTTTATTTTCAGTTTTTGGTTGGTTGATGTGCAATATGTTTTGTATGCAGTTAGTTGATAAATAAAGTTTGATCTTCCATCTTCTGACATAAAACCCGCAGGCAGAGTGTGTTTCCTACAGTATTGGTAACCAACCATTTCATTTTTCAGATATTGCTAGATTTTCAGGTGTTTGGAGAATTGGGACCATTTTTATTTTACAAAGCCTCGAATCATTTCAAAGCGCTTTACAGTAATTACTGTGTAGTGACTGTTTTCTGTACCCAAGTGCTGCAGCCTTTTGTGCATTGCAAACTTCCCTAAACAAACAGCAACAACTTGCATTCGTACAGCGCCCTTCCCTGGGGTAGTATATCGGCGCTCTTAACAGTGGTGGAGCCTGAAGCTGAGCCGAGGGAGGAGGTGACCGGTTGAAGAGGAAGGTCATCAGGCATGATCTGAAAAATGGGAAGGAGTGAGCAAGACCAAGGGATTGAGGTGGAGAGTTCCAAAGCTTCGGGATGCATGGCTGCTGATGGTGGAGCGGAGGGGACGAGGGGCAACTAGAAGGTCGGAAGCAGCGGTCGGAGGATAGGGAGATGAGTAGGGAGGTGCCAGGGTGTGAAGGGATTTATAGATGAATGTGAGGATCTTGAAGTCGATCTGTGATACAAAACCATTGGAAGTTGGTGAAGACTGGTGTGATGGCGGTAGGGAGTTTAGAGCAGGTGAGTGTACGGTCAGCGGAGTTCTGGATGAGTTGGATTTAGTGGATAGTGGAGCTGGGGAGAAAGACATTGGAATATTCGAGGTGAAAGGTGACGAAATGCAAGGATCATCTGATTATCTTGGCCAATTGTATTGTGGGATCTTTTAATGGCCACCTGAAGAACGGGCAGATAGGCTCTTTGATTCAGTGAGATCCATTTCACTTCTCTCCAGCACTTCATTTGTGTAAGAAAGTCAGTGTCTCTAATGTAACATATCCATTTCTCGTGGATTCAGTTCGGAGTCTATTCTAACCTAAATGTATTGTCCAGCTTCCCCACGCAGTGACTTGTGCCAATATAAGCTACAGAATAGCCTTCACATCAGTGTTAGGAAAACAGTATTCTTTTCCAAGTCCACTATTTTCTCTGAATTGCATTTTGCTGAATAGCCAGCGACCATCTCTTCTCGTCCTGCTTTCTGAGGTTTATCTGACAAGTCTCCCACACAGTTTTGCATAGGAACAAAGCAACGGTCCGATTCCCTTGTTCTGAAAGGGCAGATGGTGAATTAATGCATTAAGTGTCTGCAAGTCTGGTCACAAGAATCCTTGCTTTCAGGACGTCAATTCGGATTATTAGGTTTGTTAAAAACACAGAAGAGGACGCAAAGTACACTTAAATATCTTCACGTGATTTATTTAAAATGTACACAAGGAATTTCCAGGATGATTAAAGAGTTAAGTCAGTTTGATTTTACTGTGGCCACGAGCTGAGCATTCTTCCTGCGAGATCATTTCTTGGACTGAGAATCTAACAAATCTTTAGCCTCATTAATTTTGGAAGCAAGGTATGGAGATCCACCTGCCGAACAAACCTAAACTTTATTAAGTTGCATTTGACCAGAGGTTACTACCAGCGCATTTCATACACAAACACCCAGCTTTCTTTGTTGGGAAACTGCAACAACAACTTGCACTTGTATAGCTCCCCTTGTGCAGGGGAGTGTCCCAGAGCGCTGGACAGTGGCAGAGCATGAATCACTTCTAGAGAAAACAATGAAATTGACTGTCCAATTTTTATTTAAGCACAACTTTGCAACTGAAATAACATGTTGTGTATCAGAAGTCCCAAGATACAAAGATTAGTAATACACTTCTCGCAAGGAATTAAAATGAAACTTAACATTTTGGAATTCAACTCTCGCAGAGTAAAACAGACAAATTTACTTTTTAGCTCAAAGCTGAGTGCTGAACTTGTGGAAAATGACTGGTGAAATGCTGAGTGTTGCATGTTTAAATTTTTGATCACTGAGAGACTGTTGATCAAGATAAGCAATCCAACCATAACATAGCAGGATATAATAATAATAATACTTGCATTTGATATAGCACCTTATGTCTTCGAGACATTGAAGATTGACCAAATTTATGTTTTGTGAGGTATTTTTACTCCCAGGAAGGATGCATAGGAACCTGGATTTATAAACCTAAAATAGTGGTACAGGCTCGATGGACTGAATAACCTAGCATTATTACTATGCCATAAAAATGGATTACAAAACCAGTGTGATGTACTAGTACTCTGAATTCCCTGCACTATGTGTTTGACGACACAAATTTAGATTTTTATATAAGGCGCCTTCGACATCGGGAGGACCTCCCAAAGTGCTTAACAATCCTGGTTTGGCACCTGAGCCGGAGGTGGGAGTAGGGAGAGGAAAATGACCCAAAACCGCTCAAAGATGGATCTTGAACGAGGTAGGGGAGGGATTGAGCTGAAGGGACGCCAGAACCGAGTTCCAGAGAGTGGGAGCAGATAAGCTGCCAGTATCAAATGCAACTACTTATAACTCACACCTTAATAATAATCCTTGCATTTGATATTAGCGCCTTATCACGTCTTAGAGACAGTCTCCAAGTGCTTCACAGAATATACTGTAAAGTGAATTGACTGTATTTTGTGGGTGAAACGCAGCAGCCAATTACGCACAGCAGCGTCCCACAAACAATTGTGGATTGTGTGACAAATTATTACTTTTTTTTAAGGGATTATTACCCCTGGAAAAGTGATCTGCCAATTGACTAACTTACTGCTAGGTAAGCAGAGGCGTAAACCTTATAGGTTTTTGTTTAAACAATCATCTTAGTGAAGCAAATTCAAATCATGGATTAATGTGTCATTTGTCCCAGGAGTCCTGACAGCAGGCTTTGCTGCACTTTAAGATGTGTTATTTTTATTATTATTATTATTATTATAAGATAGCATTACCTTTGTCTGGGTGGTTCAGTACCATGATCCTCCTGTGAGCCTCCTGCACCTTAACTTTGTTAGCTGTGGGGCTGTGAACAAAATAATGCAGAGGATCAACCTTTCGCAATTCTGCCTCCTGTTGTTTAAGGCAAGATATATTCTGAAGCTTGTTTATACAACAATTTGTCAGGTACATAATACAGAAGGCAATGAAATGGATGGGGGGTGGGGTTGGAAAAGAATTTTTAAATGGAGTTACTGCTGGTATCCGACATGAATCATTCTGATCCACAGGAACCCCAAGTCTGGATATATACAGTAAAACTCACACAAGTCATATCAGTCAGGATTATAATAATCCTTGCATTTGATATCGCACCTTATCATGTCTTTGAGACATCTCAAAGCGCTTCACATAATGTACCCTAAAGTGAATTGACTGTATATTTTGTGGGCGACCGTAACACTTAATATGATTTACACGAAGTCCGAGTTGCTGGCAAACTGTGGAAGTTGCAGATTAAATAGATTTAAGCAGTAATCTAGACTGCACATGTATAACTTAATGCTTAATGTTTTACTGTATCATCATTGTCCCAAACAGCAGACAATTCCCTTCTGAAACCTCCACCAACTGTTGCAAACAAAAGTGCTCCAAGATGAGTTGCAGGTTCGAGGGATTTGGGGGCAAAGATGGAGCATTTTCTGAGAGTGGAGGTGGGGGGGTTAATTGGGAAAATAACTTTTCCAATTGTATGAAGGGTTCCTCTCGTTCAGAAACCACACTTGATAGCAGCATCAATTGGCCGAAACCTCACGTTGCAAAACAAGTCTTAAAACAACAAAGCATTTGGTTGGGATTGCTGGCGGGCAAGAATCCAATGCTTAAAAGGCAACAGATAAAAATGTTTCCACAAAATGGGTCAAAGTTGATGTAACACTGACATAAGAATTGTCCCCAACACCAGAATAATTCAACGATAACCATAACAGCTTTATGATGAGATACAATGAGTTGCCTTACCTCACTCCCAGAATAAGAGATGCCTCTCTCTTTGTCATTTTAGCCTCAAATCCACCCCGGTAATATCCACTGAAAGCCTGAAATTGTATGACATTAGTTAACATTTCATTGACCCTTTGTCCTCACTAACCTGTAATGCAGCATTGAACACTCTTTGGGGCAGTAATGTGATTGTCATCCAGTGTCTCATTCTGAAGAGAACAGCCGAGTCAAACTGACCACATTATCTACCTCTGAATCTCTCTCCTTCCTCCACACACAGAGAAGCAGAAAACTTCATTACTACAAATATATAATTATCCTTGCATTTAATATAGTGTGTACAATATCAAAATATCTACCGAATATCCACTCAAGTCTTCCTGTTACTATATTAAGCTGAAGGTCAGGGTTACAATACAATACAAAATTACATTTGCATAGCGCTTCTCATTGGGAAGACATTCTAACCACATTTCATTGTTGTTCCGATGTGGATCTGAAATGGTGGTGGAAGCAGATTTGATAGTAGCTTTCAAAAGGGAATTGGATAGGTACTTGAAAAAGAAAAAAATTGTACGGCTCTGGGGTAAGAAGTGGGGAGTGGGACCAGTTGGTGGCTCTTTCAAAGAGCCGGCAAAGGCATGATGGGCAGAATGGCCTCTTTCTGCGCTGTAAAATTCTATAATTCTATTAATACTGGAAGCCAGCACAGGCTCAATGGACCAAATGGCTTTTTGTGGTTCCAAATTGTTTCTTGACTAAATCCCAGTGCCCTGGCGTAAGGTTCTGGGCAGTTTAATGAACACAAGGCATTGCTGCGACTCAGAAGAGACGAACCGACGTGGGCAGATTTTGAATGGTTTGTTTCAGGGCAGGTTCCACGTGCTTCATGGCTTGCATAACATAGCGGCCTGTGAAGGGAGGGGAGAACAATAACATTTTCAAAGCCGAAACGTCACAATGTATGTCAAACGCAATGATTATTATCACATGTCGTATGTGAACCTTCAGAACACAGCAATAACACAAAAATATTTACTGAGTGTCCAGTCTTTGGGTCAATATTAATACCACAGATACTATTCTGGAATGAGCTGCCTGAAATGGTGGCAGCAGATTCAATAATAACTTTCAAAAAGGAATTGGATATATACTTGAAAAGAAAAAATATTTTCAGGACTATGGGGAAAGAGCGGGGGGAGTGGGACTAGTTGGTAGCTCTTTCAAAGAGTCAGCACAGGTACGATCAGCCGAATGGCCTCCTTCTATTCTGTAGGATTCTATGAATTACCATAGCCAGGTTTAGTGGTTCTGTAGTCAGTATTTTTTCACGGTGAAAGTGCTTCGGACGTCTCCTACCACCAATTCTCGGGGTTTTTAGTGAGGCCAGATATCTGTCTCACTCCTCTGATTGCCAGACAGTGTTCACCGGCTTTTTAATATCAAAATAGCCTCAGAGTATCCAGTGAGAAATCAAAGGCTGCGATCAGCGAGTGTAAAAGGAGCTGAGTGGGCTGATGGGGGTGGGGGGGTGAGAAGGGGTGACAACTGTCATATTCAATGTGATAAGTAGTGAATATGCCGCTAACCTGACCTCACTGATCACTGCCAATTGTTACCACTCCCCCTGGCTTCGCGTCAGGCTCTGCCACCGATCTCCTGATCCCAACCCGGGTCCAAATAACTTATTGTCCATCGCCTTGAGACTTCCTCCCGATGTGAGAGGCACTTGTAAATGTCATTTGTTGTTACAAACCTGCAAACGCTGCTGCTGCGACTGATAGGCCAAGCGCCACCATCGTACTTGCCTGTGAGAGTAAGAGGAAGAGGGGGAGAGAGAAAGAGATAGAGAGAGAACATCACTGTCATGGCCAACTTCAGTTACAGAGACTGCGAGTAAGTGGATTTATCCTCTGTGCTACACCACAGTCTGGTGGGAAGGTGACGTGCCAACAGCCCATCCTCATCGCACAGAAGAAAACCAGAGGGGTGACTCCTTCTCTCCCTCTTTCCAAGCATCCCCCCACCCCCAAGTAGCCACTAGAGGTAAAGCATTTCCACAAAGCATTGTCCTGCGAAGGAATATTTCTTCTAACTCCCCGAAAGCCATGTTCACTTTCCCAGGGGGCAACCCTTGTGATTCACTCGGTCAACCAGTGGCAATAGTGACTGCACAATTGGGAGGAGGCCGTGAGTTCAAGCCTCACGTTGGGGGGAACTTGGAGCTCAGTCCAAGCTGACGCTCCAGCACAGCGATGTGGAGGTGGGGTGGGGGGAGGAGTGCGGAGCGCCACATTGCTGGAGGCGAAGCGTTGAACCCAACTCCTCTTGTGGAGCGAGTCAGGAGTTCGTTAAAAGATCCCGCGGCGCTATTCAAAAGGAAAAGGAGGAGTTTCTCTCCTGTGGCCCTGAAACCCCTGCGGTGCCCACACCCCCACCCCTCACCCCTCACCCCAGCCCCCCGCAGAGACAGAGAAACAAAGCCTGCCCGTTCGCCTTCGCTTTGGCAGAAATTTCCGGGTGGACAGAACCCAGAACTCCCCAACCCTCACCGCACCCTCCCCCTCCCCCCTCCCCCGGAGATTACAGAACACACAGTCACTACACTTGACCGCGATGCACTGAGCGAGGCGGACAGGCAGGTCAGGGTGCTGCTGGTGGTGTTGTTTTGAGACCAACAATCCCCCCCCACCCTCTGCCCACCCCCCCATCTCTGAACACTCACCATTTTGTGGGCTTTAAATGCACCTTAAAAAAAATCCCCCAAACCCCCCCCCAAACCCCCCCACAGAGTGAAGCAGAGAGAAGGTCAGATCAGATCACAGACAGTCTGTCCATTGCTCTGCTCTGCACCCGTCTCCAAGGGCAACCGCACACTCCCGTACACCCGATTGCTGTCGCAAAACACTGGCCGTCGCTCGCAAGCCAGGACACTGCCGTCCCCCAGATTGCTGCCGTAAAGAGCGCGTCTTTGATTGGCAGGTCCCCGAGGCCCCGCCCCTCCCGCCCTGGGCTGGGCGTGGCCGCGACACCCGTCAATCACCCACCCACTGCAGCCACCTGTGCTGCTGACACACAGGTAAGCGCTCACCTGAGGCAGGTCAGGAAGGACAGAATGGAGTTTTTTTTTTCTTTGTTTGTTTGTTTGTTTCTCGTGGGGGGGGAGCCAAATAATATAATAATCATACAATGATCCTTGCATTTGATATAATAATAATAATTATACTTGCATTTATATTGCAATCTTTGCAATAATTATCCTTCTCTCGCTTCCTTCAAGACCCGTCTCAAGATCCTTCGACCGTGCCTTCGGTCACCCTCCTTCCCATCCCCCCACCCCCACTTCACCTTCCCCGGCCCGGACCCCCAGCTCGTTTCCGAAACACTGGTGGTCCAGCGCCCTGGGATGTCCCCTCCCGACAAGAAAGGCGCGAAACACATGTAATTTTGTTGTTGTTGCATTTGATACAGCGCCTCATCACGTCTTCAAGATGTCTCAAAGCGCTTCACAGAAAAATATAGCGCCTGATCACGTCATCACAGGATATGTTATAAAGTGAAGTGACTTCATTTTGAGGGCGTAACGGGCGGCAGCACTGGGGTGTGTTGGATTCCCAGAGGTGCTGTCCTTCGGATAAGACGTTAAACCGAATTCCCTTCTGCCTAAAGATCCCAAGGCACCAAAAATAATAATCGTTGTATTTGATATTGTGCCTTATCATGTCATTGAGACATCTCAAAGCGCTCCACAGAATATACCGTGAAGTGGATGGACTGCACTTTGTGGGCAAAATGTGGGACCCAATTGCGCACAGCAGTGTCTACAAACAGCCGTGGATTGTGTGACCAAATTTTTTTTGGGGGGTGATTCTTACCCCCGGAAAGCGATCTGCAAATCGACTATCAATCGGGTTCCGACTTACTGCTCGGTAAACAGAGGCGTGTGGAGTAAGAAAACTTGCCTAAGTTTGCTCCGCCCGGGAACTGAACCCGGGTTCTCTCGCTTGCGAAGCGAGCGCTCTAACCACTGAGCTACAGGACTCAACATTTTCCAATTCTTCAATCAAGACACTAAAACCCAAGGCTCCGGGGATGTCTTTGCCCATATTGCATCGTCTGATACATGATTTTAATTTAAAGTTTGCATACTATCACAGCAGAATCGTTAGTGAATGAAAGTGATTCAGGAGTTGCTGCAATGTTTAAGGGTTGGTTTTATCATAAGACAATAAGAGCGATTATGCGGAATCTTAATGAAATCATTTTTTAATGTAGAAAATCTCTTCTTTGCCCGTCGCTTTATGGACAATGGTGGCGATTAAACTGTGATCCGTTGCCATTGATTCACTTTTGTCTGAAACACAATGGTTCAATTTGCTTATCCAGCGATGGATCAGTGGTTACAATCCTGGCTCTGCATTTGTGCCTTTAGAAAAAAAAATCATCCATCGCCTTCTCGTAACTAGTGATCTGATGAAGCTGCCGCTTTTCCATTAGAATGGCGGTGGAGTGAATGTATCTTAAGACAATCAGTGGCTTTAAACTTGCGCTCTCTTTAATAAGACACACATTGATTTTAACTTGCTCTGTCTCGAGCCATGTTCTTTATTTTACACCAACCTAAGCAAGTGGCTCTTCACTTTGTAAATTGCACATGCAAGTGTTGCCCACAAAATACACAGTCAATCCACTTTACAATATAATAATAATCCTTGTATTTGATATAGCACCTATCACGTCTTCAAGATATCTCAAAGCGCTTCACAGAATCTACAGTAAAGTGTATTCCTTAAAGTCTGACAGTATTTTGTGGGCGAAACGCAACAAACAGCCAATAGCGAGAAATGAATGATCAATTTATTATTATTATTTTTTTGGAGGGATTATTACCCCCGGAAAAGTGATTCACCAATCGACTAACAAGTGGGTTCCTACCCACTGCTAGATAAACAGAGTAAGGAAACTTGCCTAAAGTTCTGCCTAAAGGAATCCAACCCAGGTCTGCTCGCTTGCGAGGCGAGTGCTTTATCCAATATGCTACAGGACTCCATGATCCTGTGAAGTGCTTCGAGATGTCTCAATGATGTGATCAGGTGCAAATGCAAGAATTATTATTATATTATTATTTATTATTATCATCATCATTATTATTACTCAGGAGGAGGAATAGCATTGAATAAAGATCCTGGGCTGAATTCAAGTCACCTTGCAAAGACGCAAGATTTAGTTTTTTTTAAAAAGATATAAGAACGAGTGTCTGTAGTCAGGATTTTCTTTGTGACAAAGAAAGGTGATTGAACTTGACTTTATATTATTTTTTTTGTGAATTTCTTTCAACGGAGGGATTTGATAATAGACTCAAGCCCGAATGAATCATTTTACAGTTCACTGGTTGTGATTTGACACAGCCTTTCACAGACACCTCAATGCGGAGGGAGCTCTGCGGATTCCAACAGGAGATTGGGTCTTAAGTACAATAGATAAGCGAGGGAAAAAAGAGAGAGAAAATTAGACAATTAAAATGAATAATTCAATATTAATTCTTCCCTGCCCTTCAAAAAAAATCTTGAAATAAATTGTTTCATATTTCTGGTTAGCCAACGGATGCTTTTGTTAGGTGGGTGGGGGGAATTTTGTCTTTCTTAACCATTTTCTTAGTGAAGAGATGCAGATGTGCGAATTGGCGGGCAAGTTGATATGTTTTCGGAGTGGAATTCTGCTTTGTTGGTGTGATGTGATTCTGGTTTCTGGGAGAGGTCCCTAATTAATTAAAAATAATTAAGATTAACCGGAGCTGAGTGGGAGGATTCCCTGCCCCCAGTGACTGATCTGCCCTTCCAAGTCCTGTCGATGAGCCAGGCTGGGCTATGCTGTCTTCAGCAGCGGGTACCCTGGAATACTGAGGACCCTCCTGGCTCAGGAACTGGACTAGAGACCGTCACAGAGGGCTCGATTCCGACATTCCATTGCAAAACATGTCACCTTGTAGCCAGTTCAGCTCCAAAAAGATGCCGGTTATCTCCCACCTCAAAGGAGGACAGTCACTAGTTGATCATTTGACATCCAACAAGCGCGGGTTTGAGCCTAACTACGTGGATGGCAGAAACCAGAAATTCTCTGCCAGCTTCCCGGTGGGCAACACAGCTCAGCATGAAATGTGTGAGGGCATTGCCACCCATTGAGCAATGGGTGATAATGTCTTTCCCTTCCCATTGAGCGATGGTTCCACTGGTTGAAGGTGTGGAGCTTGAGCAGCAACTGCTTATGTCTCTGCAAACCAATCAAAGGATTGATTGAAATGATTACAAAAATTCCTCCACTTGATTAACGCGGGAGTTTATAATAATAATAGGCTTTACATTTGATATAGTGCTTTATCACGTCATTGAGATGTCTCAAAGCACTTCACAGGGCAGAGTGTAAAGTGTAGTGACTGTGTAATTTGTTGGCGAAACACGGCAGCCAATTGAGCACAGCAGTGTCCCACAAACAGTCGTGGATTGAGTGACCAAATTATTAATATTTTTTTTCGAGGGATCATTACCCACCGGAAAGCGATTTGTTCAGTGGTTAATAAGAGGGTAATTGGGTGTCTAAGCACGGTGTGGACTGAGGGAGTCAGCGTTTTGCGGTTGAACCCTCACTGGATCCTTCCCACTTGATGGGTTAGGTGCAGGGCCAGTAGGTATCGTCTATCAAGCACCCCTTGCTTTGAGTGCGCATATGTTCCTCTCCTGCCTCT